TTAAGTTTCATCAGTTTGGCTTATGACCCAAACTACAAGATGTACAATAAGTTGTACGTTGACGAGTATATTAATATTTACCTACAGAGCAAATGTGACACTTTTTCAACTATAAGAATTTACAGCCACCATTTAGATATATATAATGATTTATTACCTATTGAATAAGTTAAAAATGGATTTATAATACTTTATTTAGGATGTCTACAAAACTCTCTCTAGATTTGAACTGCCTGTTAAATCAACCTTTTCTAAGATAAAAGTTGGTGGAGGAGGCTAAAATATAATTTTTTGCTCTACAGCTTTAAGCCCTAAAAAACGTCTGGCGGCCATCGAAAAAATACCCTGTATGTGCAATCTGGGGGTGTGACTGCTCTTCCCCAGCTGGCAGCACCTTTTCAGCCAGGAGTTCATTGTTCCAAGTACGCAAAGGACAATGTTGTGGTACTGAACTTTGTGGTGCGGCATCATGAAGTTTTTATTGCAGCGGATAGATGAGATCATTTTGTGTTTCAGCAAACATTGCATCAGGAACTTTCCAATAACATACTTAGAGCACTGCAAAATCTTGTGAACAAGATCAAGCATGAATCAGTGGATGCATGATCCCAAAATCAGATAACCATAATCTGACTTGGACAGTTTTGGACTCCAATAGGGTTTGCATTGAATTCTCTATTTGCTCCTCTGTTAATTTAGTTAATTTAATGTCAGGATGCCGTCTCAGCCTTTAATGCATCTACTTACATTGTGAAAATAGACCATTGTGCTTGTGATGATGATTTGGACCAAGCTGACAGTAGAAAACAATGAACCAGACCAGTTCATTTATATTCACTTGCTGCAGAAGGCTGTGAATTAATCTCTGAAGTTCTTCTTATTGGATTAAAAGTTTCTTTTTCTGCTCATCTTTTACCAAAAACCATGCAAATAAAAACACACCAAGCTCTGGTTTTATGTATTTTTCTTTTATTTTTTTTCCTGATTGAAATGTAAGGTCATAATTTGTCATTCATCACATTACATGGCATGATGCACCAGGTCTACTACACCCATTTACAGGAGGAATACACAGAAACATACACAAGGTTTTACAATAGGGAAACAGGAAGTTTAGCTCATTGCACTTACAACAGTGAATGGAACACTTTGTTGTCGTTTTTTAGGCTCTTTTTGTTTTTACTCTTTACTTCAATCAGCTGGGTTATTTTAAGCTTCTCCCCCCCCAAGATGTTCGATGTTTTATTCACCTTGTCCCTCTGTTTTCATTATGCAATGATCCACCCTCAACTTGGAAGTCAGAATATTTTTTTTATATATTTTTTGTTTTAGATGTCATCTCGTTTAACAAACACAACATGTATAGAAACTCTACACAGACCATTATTTTTTTTTCCATATCCGAATACAATGATTTATTTATTTTTTCTTGAATATAATGACGTTTTTAACCATCCGTACAAGCCAGTCACATACAAACACAATGCGGTTTGTCAGCTTATTTGTTTGTTGTTTTTCGTTTTAGTCGTTTTTCATACACAAAAAAAAGCACAGATTTTGGCAGGGAGTTCTGGGCTTGCATACGCTGCAGCTGGGGTGGCTGTTTGCAGTACAAAGGCCTCTCTCGCACGCCTCTTGTGCATGTGTCTGTGTGTGGTGACTTGTTTGAGATTTACATGTCGTACAGGACGTGTCCCTCATGGCATTTACATGTTTGTTTGGAGTGGACTCGGGTTCATATCTGGTATTTACACTGGAATAAAGAAGGTTGGAGGGAGGTCAAAGGTCGGAGAGGTGGCTGGGCTTAAGGAGAGAATATGGGAGGTGTCCAAATCATGCACTTGTCACTTTACAGGTAAGAGATGAACAGTGAGAATGGACCATTTTCTCATGGCTTCTTCTTTACTTAGAACCTCTCGCCTATATGAAACATCCACTTTATATATATATATTTATTTATTTATATATGCATTTCTTATTTTCACATCCTGTCATACTTTGAACAACAGTAAGAGCAGCAACACATAACAGCCTAAGATGCTGCTTGTCTGATTTATAAAAAGCTACAGTCTGGATTTCCCAAAAGGATTTCAAGATGCATTTTAATGCACTTGATCCAAAAAACAACAAAATAAGTTGCAAGCTGAAACCTAATGTTTTGGTTTTCTATTGCAAAATAATAATAATAATAATAATAATAATAAGTGGAACTTAATTTCATTTGAAGGCAGAAAAATAAGAGTTAGATTTATGTGTTTTCCTTTCTGATTTTTGCTAAAACATTGCTAAAAAAAACAACAGGCAGTGATGCCTTTACTGTGTCTGATAAGTCCAGTGCTCCTCAACAAAGAAAGACACCATGCAGAGTGTGGACAGAGATTTCATGACCGGCTGCAGTAACAGGATGGCTTTCTTCGGTGACCATTATTGTATTAGAGAAGCCCTTACTGCTATGCGTATTAAAGTCACCCTCAATGGCTGTATTCATGCAGAAGCAACACCACTAACAAACAAACAAAAAATGAAATAAATCAAACTCTGGTAAGAAGAGCTATAACCTTATTTTCTGCACAGTTCTGCACAGTAACTGTGTGCTTGTAGCTGTTTCCTTCTCACTGATATCCTGCATCTGCATGAACACAACCGCCGTCTCCTAATATCATCTCATCGTCTTCCATTGCAAGGCTGCATTTAGCATGTGTGCTTTCCTGAGGCAGAAGTGATTAAGGATCATTTCATTTTCTGGTCAATTTCTTTCTTTTTTTTTTGTTATTTATTTTTTTTTTTTTTACAAACTTCCAAAAACATATGACACAAAATAGAGGAAGTTGGTGTTAAATTAGATAATTCTAAGCTTGATCAAGTTTGTTCTACTTTGGAACCTAACGTTTAGCTTTTTTTATTTTTTGTCTTTTAAAACACTGATCTAGAGGCAGCGGATATGTGAAATAAACTCTGTTTGGATCCTGTGCGTTCAAACCACTATTCTGATTTTCAAATTTGCATCTTAATTTAACTCCTTGCAAGTCAATGAAAGGCATCAGTTTAGTTTTAGGAACAATTTCTAAATACTTTATCAGCTATATAATTTAAAAAATAAAATAAACTCTTTTCAGGGTAAATTTTCTATTTATGGTTTTCAACAATCTGATTATATTAGTTGTGCAAGAACCTTTGCAATAGAAACCATCTTTATAAAGATATTCTTTATCATATATCTAGAGTCAATAAATCTTTTCAACCTTTAATCCGACTATCTTAATATCTCCTCTCAGTATGATGAAATAAATTCTCACATAGATAAATTATACTTGAAATATTGCTAAAAAAATATATGGACTATTTTTACATGGATAGATGATTTATGAAGCTCAAACAAGCGCTATAAAGAACTTTGCAGGGATACTTTTATATTAGGGATGCATCAATCAGAGGTTTCTGTCCCCTATACAGATATTAGTCATTTAAGGATGTCAATATCAAACCTTTTATTTATTAAATTCCATGGGAGGAATATGAAGACACATATAATGTTGATGTTATGATGATGTCTCACTAAACTTACACTCCAAAGACATTTTGAATGCCTTAGTTTCCTCAGATCTGTCTCTATATGCTGTTCCACAATGGAATGACTAGTTTAAGAAAGCTTCTATAATCCCCCAATAATAAGCTTTTAACATAAGTTTATTAACTGTTTATAAATAAATATGAGAGTGAACAGATAGAGCTACTATTTTCATTAAAATCATGTATTTTTCCTGCTGATGAGTGTTTTTTATGGACCAGGCTGGAGAAGGCTATCATATTTCTCCCCCCGCACATAACAATATACTCTAAATGGTCTCCCTTCCATTGTGAATGTTATAATAATAAAAGTAAGCTGATCAATAATGTTGGATTCACCAGCTATGTGCAAAAAAAAAGGTCTTTTGTTAATGTGCAAATAATGTACGCAATTGCTTGATGGAAAAACTGCAAATGCTAGAAACATCAGGTGTTGGGGATTTAGTTATTGACTTCATTGATCATTAAAAAGTGCCTTGATTATAACTGAGCTTTTGTATTTTGACATCCCTTCGAATGATATTAAAAAAACTTTTTTTTTTTAAATTGTTGATTTTCTTATATCCACATTCCCTTAGAGCGCTGCTACCAAAAAACTAACACATATATGTAAACTGGCAAATGCCTTTAGCTTAGTACATTTACTTTAGAGTGTACATTCCACTAAGACACCCACCTACTAACTCTTAATGCACAAATATGATGACTTTAGGACTTTTCTGAATAGTGCTTCAGTAGCAGCTTACAGCAGATCATATAAGTCTTTTCTATAGCTTTTTTTTATATAGTTTATTTGCAATTTGATTGCTTCTAAATTTGTCTTTTCTTTCAGGTTATTTTTTATTGATTTAAAGTGTCTCTTTAGAAACATTTTCTACACAAAGAGATTGTTAGAACAGCTTCTGTTTCTGGCTCTTTAAGAATGAGTTTTTAACCCCTGAGCAGCCCATCACCTGCGGCGCAGTACTTTAAATATATAAATCTGTAAAAGCTTTTCTATTACCCTACTTCAGTTCTAATAAACTGATCATGGTGGCCAGTATTGGTCAAGATGTGTTCATGACAACTTGGATATTTCAATCTTGCTGCTTACAGCAGTGTTGATCACTAGGCAGCATTTTCCATTTGATAAAAAGACGCTTCTTGCACCTATTTTAGTTTAATGTTCTTAGTCTAGGAATGGAATTTCCCAGCTGCCTTGAACATATCTTTGGCTTCCAATTCCATTAGAGGAGGGTGTTTTTTTTCACACAAATTTCCAGAAATTAAACAAAGCAGACATGATCTCTAACCGAGGAGTGATTAACAATGACTGTGACTTTTCCCATATTATTGTTCACATGCCTTTTCCTCCTCAGATTTTTCTATGATCAAATAGGATTCATTGCATAGAACGACTCGCCTCCTCTACCTGCGACGCTCGTCGTGTTTGAACTTGTGTCTGTTTTGTTTTCTTCTCCATATTAGATGATGATTGTTAAGTACTCGCATACTGAACCCCAAACACACTCATACATACGTACAAACATCAGGAACAGAACAATATAGAGGTGACCTTGAGGTTTTTCTCGGCGCCGGGCAGCATGCGAAAGTTCCCAGCGAGCGTTCACAAAGACAATATACAGCAGAAGTTGGTGGTTTTTGAAGAAAGAGGAGTAGGCCTGGCCCTGTCGGGCCCTGGCGTTATGTTTCATGAGGGGGTGGAACCTTAGATTTCCCACAATGCACTGCAGGAGCAACAGCAGGGCGAATACTGACCTGAGAATATTTCCAAGACGACTGACAGTCTGAGAGAAAAGACTTGGTTCTGTTGTTGTTTTGGATGGGGGTGTTGGGTTAGACGTCTGAACTCCACCACCATAGAAAATAGGCCATTTAAAAAAAAGGCGAGTGACTTTGTGTTATTTTTGGTTCCTCAGTCACATGACAGCAGAATATTATAGTTAGATCACTGACACCATTCCCAGTGTGCTTTCAGGTTCACATTTGACAAAGTGAAGACACATGCGGAGACAACCGTATAAGGAGTCCATCTTGGAGAATCAGAAGAGCCCCAACACCAAAATAAAAACTAAACTCTCTCCTGATTCCCCCACTGTAGGGTGATAGAGAGTCCAATTGGGCTGCCTCTCTGCTGCCCTGCAGTGCTCTCAGGTCAGACTCCCGCTGAAGAAAGCAGCATGTCTGTCCAGTCTGCTACGTTCATACAGCAGCAGTACCACACGCTGCGTTTGAGTCACACTAAAGCAGAGCATCGGCGGTAAATCAGACAAACGAAGGCAACACATTTTTGCAAAATGACACAAAATTGTGCTATTTACTTTCTTTCCTCTTGCTCTATTGCTTTCATGATTATTGATAGGAGCGAAGAGTCTGAAAAATTGTCAGGGGAGGGGCTAGTTCCATGTAACAAAACAATACAAAATGAAATAAATCATATCACAACAAAATATATAAAAAAGAAAACACGATGTTAAGGTAAAAAAATAGAAATCAACCTCTCTGTGGCTGCTGTTCCAGCTGATCTAACTAGATAAAAATACACCGTTTTAGATTCAGAGTAAAACGCTTTAAAATAATTAAGGCGATATTGGTAACCTGCAACATAAAAACCAGGCAATCGACATAGGAAAATAAAATAAACTATGAAAAAGAACAAAAGTCAGAAAATGTGGAGAATGTTGGAGATTTATCACTTAAACACAGAGTAAGCGTCATTTTAATGGCTTTAAATTGGCTAAAAAGTAACCCTAACGCCTTATTTCCTTATCCACTCTTATTGATTTTTTAAAAAAACCCAAAAACACTTGGAGAAAAAAAAGTGCGGATAATAAACATAAAGCTCATCTTATTCCCATGGCCAGATCCTTCTGTGTTGCTTTAGTAACTTTCTTTGCTTTAACCTATGCCTTCTAGCTCAGATGTCTTTATGGCCTCAGTTGCGTAATGATGAAACAGTGTAAGGTCTTGGATATAAAGTTCCATGCATTCCCATATTTTCTTTTTTTTTTTTCTTTAAATCCACAATAATCTTGTTTGAAGACATGGCAAGTTGTGGATCATTGCAGTTGGGTGTGGTAAGAAAGAAGAATCGGCATTCAAGAAAACGCAATTGAGGTGAGGAAGAAGAGCAAAGTTGTAGACAGAAAGAGAGAAAAAAATGGTGGAAAAAAAGAAACACGTGGCGGCATACTCAGTCCGCGTCATTATCATCTGTTTCATTCAAGGTGACGTTATGATGATTTCCTCGTCAGTTTTCTGCGGTCAGAGACGTCTTTAGTACAAGAAAAACCTGCGGTCCCCTTAATGAGTTTTTATTTATTACAATTTTTCTGCTGATTGTTTACTTTGAAAAGAGATAGAAAAGAGGAGAGAGGTGATTTGTTGGTTTTTCATCTGGAGTGAGCGCTGGACTTTAAAGCCTACAAGCCTCTGCAGCTGTGGTCAAACTACCACCTCCTACAGGATGCTGGAATGAAAGCAGCCCTCATGGAAAGATGAAGCAGTCTTCAGATGTCTCCACGCCTGGTTCATCTGCTTGGTATTTCTTTACGTGCATAGAGCTTCCACAGCTGGCGTGGACCAATCATCTCTTTCTCCATTCAACCCCCAGGCATTTAGTTTTCATGTAGAGGTTGAGATGTTTGTTGCTGCTGCAGATCTTCTCCAAGAAGCTGTGTGATAATGTGGATCCTTCTCAAGCTGGATGTTGGCTTGGAATGATCTAAAAGGGAAAAAAGGTCATTTATTATAGAAACTGTAAAAAAAATGTAACTGATGAAAACATTTTGATGATTAAAACATTTCCGTAGGTGTTATGCTGGTGAGGATTCTCATTCATCCAGGTCATAGTCTTTCCAAAAAAAGTAAAAAAAACAACAATTCCATGGACTTTGTTTCCAAGTTTGCAGACATTTCCCATCCAGGAAGCTTTTTCAATTCAAACTGTCAGGAATAGCATTGAGTTTGAGGTTTTATACAGTAGCGAATTAAACCCTTGTTTTAGTTTGTGTTTTTGTTTTGTTTGTTTTTGTAAACAAAAACAAGGATTTGAAGGGCTCTTGTATAAAATCTTGAACTCAACGCTGTAGGTTTTCTATAAATACTCATCCGTTTATAATATTTACAGATTATCTTAACACAAACCAGATAACAAACAGAGTGATTATAAATTGGGTCTCGATTAGAGATGCACTTGGTTTCTTTCTAGAATCAGATAAGGACGTCCAAATGGGTTCAGATGGGGATTTGTAAGTTAAGCTTTGAAAATCTAATATTTATTCATTCTGGAAATGACACTATAAAAGTGTTATCAAATAATTAAACTTTTTTCCTGCTTGAAAATGATTACTGAATGAAAATGTAGGTAACAGGCAGGATATAGATGTTTTAAGCATAATCAAAGTGTTTAAATTAAACTGTGTGGTTTATTCAGGCTGCCTGAAAGCAAGAGAGAGAGCAACACTTTAAGCAGATAACAGGCAGGCTTAATGTAAGCTTAGCGCTTAATAGTAGCTAGGTATTGGGTTTGACCTATTTTAAACTTCTGTCATAATGTTATATATATAGGATCTAGATTTTTAGTCTAAATAAATTGGTATGTTTGTGATGCTAGTCTCTTCCAGGCTTCTCTCCCTTTAGCAAATTCCTTAACTAGCTTTGTACCTAAATTACATCCTAGAATTGGTTGAATGTTGGAGTAACTCTGCAACTTTGACTGATATTCTTTTTTATGAGAACTTTAGTTTCTTGTAATTAACTCGCTAATTAACATATCTAAAGCTGAAGTAATACAGCAACTACTTCTGCAAGAACCAGCTGATATGAAAAGGAGGGGCTGGGGATGCAGAGCAGGAACAAAGAGCTGAGAGAGGAGCATGAAATTTAGGCAATTTCTTCCATCAATTATCACGGGCAATGTGAGATCTTTAGGAAGCAAGTTAGAGGAACTCCAAGCCCTAGCGAGGACCAAGCCACAATATGAGTAATGCAGCATTATGCGTTTTACTGAAACATGACTGCAGGATGGTATCTCAGACTTCAGTGTCCTCTGCCTGGCTTTCTAACCATACAAGCAGACAGAGATTTTAAGAGGAACTGAAATATGAATTGGTCTTCAATCAGATCCTGTGCAAGACAGACCTCAACAGAAGATCCTTCGTACAGCTATGAACACCTTGAAGACTAGGTATCTTAAAGCCTTCTGTGAGTAAAACACATTTCCATACAGCAGACCTCTAAATTTAGAAAGTACTCTAAACTGATGTTGTGAAAGCATGTATGACACGCCCCTCTGGCAGGAACAAACATGATCACACTATAAAAGCACCCAGAGAATGCAGACCTCCGCCAAGCAGCAAAGCAGCAAGTGTTGCCTCATGTTGTGACCTACACTAAAACCTGCACACCTGGATTAGGACTTTTTGAGTCCAATGCTGAAGCTGTAAATAGTCACTGCTGCTACCCACTAGTTTAGGGGGGGACTGGTGGTTTCCACCTTAAATCACTATCTCACAATGTGAAAGAGTCCTTTAAAAAATTCCAGGATTATAATCTTGATCATTACCTAAATGTAATTGCTTCTTGGAATGATGCGCACCTCTACAGGTTATCCTGTACAGTGACAGACAGACAGACAGACACTAACTTCCCTAAGAACATAAGCTCCTCAGCGGCGGTAATGAAACAACAGCATGACAAAAGTTTGTAATGTTGGATGCCTGAAGTGACCAGCACCTAATTGGTAGCAGTAGGAATCCATTATATGGGATTCCTACTGCTAAAAACAGACGGAAACTTTAGATTTAATGTTTAAACAAGGTAAAATCCAGCTACTGCTTTGACTTAAACCTATGACATGATGTCGCCTCTACTTCCATGAGAAGAGGAGAAAAAGTTTTCATTTATTTCTCAAAAAGCAACTAAAATCATCTTATACAGGGAAAAACTGATCAAACTTAACAAAAGGAAAAAAAAATGGAAAAGCAGTCAGTTCTCATTTTCCTCAAACACTCCGACGTTCAAATATTTTCATCCAGTTTTAAACATCTTTTTGTGCACAAACTTTCAAGTATTTAGTACTTGTACTCTTCACATAAAAGGGACACAAAGGATTAAATTGATAAACTGAGGAACGGTTGTAACATATGAACCAACAGACATCCTGATGGCAATAATGTCAATCTTTTTCGATCAACCTATTTGCTTTTTTAAGCAAATCAGTTTTGGAAAGTTTTAATTTGGTAAAGTTTCCAATGTTAGATTTGTTATTTTCTCCTCATTTATCAGACTAAAATAAAACACCTTTTCATGCTCTTGACACAAACTACAGCTGTATTACACATATATGTCCACTAGGTGGAGTGCTAGTTCAAAACAGCATCCTAGATTAAATATAAACATGTATAAGGCTGTAAGTAGTAATAAATGGAGATTCTATAATTGACATTTTGTAAGTGAAAGGATAATATATATAGAAATAACATCTTAAAAATAAATAAAGCTGACAGATGAAGACAGTTTGCATATAATCTATCTGTTGCATTTTGGTGCTTTAAGGGTTTTGCTGATTGGGAGTCTCTTACAGCTGCTGAACATTTCATTTGACACAGCTGCTAAATAGCTAAGTTTGGTTTGATCTACTTGCAGCATCATGTTTTGTAGATGTTTCTCATATTTCTGATCATATCTAAGCGTTTCAGGGTCTAGAAGTCTTCAGGTTTAAACACATTTTCCTTTTTTTTCCTCCTTTTTGATTCATTTTTCTGCACGATGTCAATCAAAGGAAGCTAAGTCACAGATTTTATTCTGTCGTCTTTAATGGATGCTACTCCCATGATTTGTTTTGCCCCTGTTATGCGCTTAAACAGCTAAAAGCACATAATTACACAAGCTCATTTAATCATTCCTGTTTCATCATGTCCTTCCGCTGATTACTAGATATGTCCTTCCACTCTTTCTCATGTGTTTTTAGAACACAAAAAAGGTAATTGCACTGGTAAATGCGGCAGCAAAGTGGAATGAATAGCTTCACAGATGAGCAGCGCTTTAAAAACATATATTCCATGTTAAAACATGCAAAAAGCAGCTGTGGTAAGCAGAGAAACGAGGACAGAGAAACTCCTAACTCAGCCTGGCAGCCCGCTGACGCAGCACCTATGGGACATAAAGTGAAGGACGCATGTTTGTGGTGCCATTTTTGAATAACACCAGAAAAACATCTCTTGTATATCCTGGCACTCCAAGTTTCACTGAAAGCCTTCAATATTTTAATTTGCAATACAAATATGCAATGGTAGATTTACAGTAAGATGCTAACCACACCTTTTTATAAGCATCCTAATAGTAGAATTAACCTTCAGAATTCAAATATTCAGGCTTATAGGAGCCTTCAGAGGCATAATCAAGGAAAAGGGAAGCAGGCCTTTGATCAGGTTCTGGTCTGTCATTTGTTTGCACTCAGAATTATGCATAACCTTTTGTATAATCCAGCTGAGAAACAAAGGCCAGCAGCCACCTGATCTGGGACTTAGTTAAACAAAAAATAGTAATCCCGTCTTTCTAAGCTCAGTTAAAACCTGCTACAGAAGAATGATGCAATGCCAGAGTAACAGGATTGCTGAAGGGGCACAGGCAACATCACACAGTTTTGTTAGAACTTTTATTTCTCTTTTAAATCATTTAGTGTCTGTTTACTTTTTCAGCAAAAAAAAATAAGTTATATTTACTTATTAGAAAAGTTCTTTGATTTTTAAATTTGAAATGTTTGTTGTCTAAAAGTTTGGAGAGTGGTGGCCTAGTGGTTAGGACATTGTGCTTGGATTCCAGAGGTTATGAGTTCAATCCCTAATACAAAAGACTGACAATCTGGGTCCCTGAGCAAGGCCCTTAACCCCACACTGCTCCCCTGGAGCTGCACAATGGCAGACCACTGCCCCCCAAAGGGATGGGTTAAATGC